AGAGAGCAGAGAGGAGAGAGATGAGAGAGAGAGAGATGAGAGAGCAGAGAGACCGGAGAGAGCAGAGACGAGAGAGATGAGAGAGAGAGAGAGAGAGAAATAGACGAGAGATGAGAGAGAGAGAGAGAGATGACGAGAGAGATGAGAGTACGACGATGAGAGAGAGAAGACGTGCGTAGTTAGTCGTGGGTGTCAGCGTGCGTGCGTGCGTGCGTGCGTGCGTGCGTGCGTGCGTAGTTAGTCGTGGGTGTCAGCGTGTGTTCGGCTGATGACATGATGGTTCTGTTGCAGCCACTGCTCGAAGAAATAGTGAATGCTGACCAGGGAGCGCCGTGCTCACCCAAGTACCTCAAGAAGGTTGACCTCAGTCCTTCTCTATTTCTCTTGACTGATATATATATCCCGACAAGATGGCGAGGGCAGTTTAGATTGTGAAGCGTACTGTTTCGCTTTACAGTTTAATGTTCTTGGAATTGGATAGGGCCAGTAGTGTGTGTATTAATTATTATCTTATTTCTGAGGGGCTTAATCCATTAATGAGGGATAATTTGATCGAAATGCCACATCCTGTCATTGTAATGGGAAAATAAACTAACGGTAATTGTAATAAGAATAATAAGAATAATAAGAATAATTCTGCTAGTATTACTATTGCTGCTGCTGCTGCTACTACTAATACTACTATTGCTGCTGCTGCTGTGGCTGCTGCTGCTGTGGCTGTTGCTGTTGCTGCTGTTGCTGCTGGTACCATTACTACTACTACTACTAATAATAATAATAATAATGATGATTGATTATAATTATTATTATCAATAATAGTTTACTATATATTATGTGAACTCTGTGTTTGAACCAGTTTTCTCGTATGGTTATTGCAGAAATCTTTCATCGACACCGTAAAGAAATCGCTGATTGGTCAGGGCGGCTCCCGCCAGATGCAGGAGGGCGCTGTAGTCACCTGCGTGAAGCTGTGCAAGGCGTCGACGTACATCAACATCCTGGATAGCAGTAATGTGCTCTTCATCCTCGTGCACTCCGTCATTAACGAGCTCAAGGTGGGTCGGTCTCTTCATCCTCGTGCACTCCGTCATTAACGAGCTCAAGGTGGGTCAATGACATACATTGTTTATTACCACGTGACATACATTGTTTATTACCACGTGACATACATTGTTTATTACCACGTGACATACATTGTTTATTACCACGTGACATACATTGTTTATTACCACGTGACATACATTGTTTATTACCACGTGACATACATTGTTTATTACCACGTGACATACATTGTTTTTGCACGAATACTGATTATCATATTTATGATATACAAATATGAATAGGATTGTTTTTTCTCCACTTATTTAGCACACACCTAATTAACTATGGCAGCTAGCAATCTGTAATTTATCAGGAGAAATAACGTTCTCCATAGAAAGTACAGTGTGCATGTTGAGGTCAACTGGTCAATTCAAATATAGCGATTCATGTGGTTGCACTGCAAAATCAATGGGTGACAATTTTAGCACCGTAAAGTGCTGCCACACAGCGCAGAGTGACTCGTTACAAACGTTCGCTGTTCAGTTTTTCCATTCTGCAGCATGCTAAGACCGAAACCCCAACAGAAACCAAATCCATATAGTTTAGTTGTGCCGTGTTTATACTGGAATCGATCGATGGCACATGCCACAAGAGCCAGCCGCCGTTACACGTATGGTACACATAATTCTTTACATTGCTCACTGCTGATGGCATAGACTGATGGTAAAAGAGCTAATGCACCAGTCACACATATACACGACACACGGCCAATTTTGGCAATTGGCAATTGAAAAATTGGCAATTTTGGCCAGTGCGTTGTCTTTCGCTGGATGTGCGTCAGCATTCGTTACTCGTTTGTCGAGCACGCTGGACCAACGCTATTCATTCGTTGTCATTCACTGTGTGCGTCGGGATTTTTGAGCATGCACAAAAATGTGCGCGGAGCTCGACGCATGAATGTACACGCCAGAAGGACGCGCTGGATCAACGGCAGACACACGCGGAGCACACTCTGGGTATTCATTGTATGTTCGTCGGCTGAGGTGTGGCGAACACCTAGCGCGCACCTAGCGCACACCTAGCGTGCTTCTAACGCATGTCTAGCGAACATGCAGCGAATATGGGCGTGCTGAACGAGTGCTGAACGAGTCTGTAGCACACACAAGGATGAGGTGATGAAGTGTCCACCACTCTTGAGGAATGGCGTGCCATATCTGACGAGTTCATGGAGAGGTGGAACTTCCCCCATACCTAGTGTGGTGCACTTGATGGCAAGCACGTCAACTGCAAGTGTCCTCCAAACAGTGGTTCCCTATACTACAACTACAAAGGGTTCTACTCCGTTGTCCTCATGGCGCTCGTGGATGCTGATTACAAGTTCATCTGGGCAGACATCGGCGGCATGGGATCAGCATCAGACGCTCAGATCTACAATGCCTCTGAGCTGAATGAATGCATTGAAGATGGTAGTCTAGGCTTCCCTGATCCCGATCCTCTTCCCAACGACAACCAGGATGTGCGCCCTACTTCTTACGTCGGCGACAATGCCTTCGGCCTACGACCCAACATGATGAAGCCGTACAGCCTCCGGGTTATGACGCGACCGGAGCGCATCTTGAACTACCGGCTTTCCTGAGCCATGAGGGTCGTAGAAAATGCTCGGAATCCTGGCCAACCGTTCCAAGTTCTCCTGAGCACGATGCAGCAGCAGCAGCAGCCTGAGACTGTCAAGCTCATTGTCACAGCATGCATGACCGCTGCCGTTCGCTGACTGTGCGTTGAATGCGCGTACCATTCGTTCCGTGCGCTAGCAACACGCTGTGTATTCGTTGGATTTTTTAACATGTGCGCCTTGTATACGCTCTGTATACACTCTGTATGCACCCTGTACACGCGCAGCGCGCTAGCAACACGCTGTGCATTCGTTGTCAACTCGCTAGCTTCTCCCAAATTCTGACAAAAGTTGGGCGCACAACGACGCACTGATCTTATTTTCCATTTTTTCAATGCGCGGGCCGTGCGTCGCGTATGTGTGACTGGGCCATAAGAGTCCAAGAGGGACTGGAATTGCCAAATACGGTATTCGCTTTCAAACTACCAGACCAATTGCAACCAAATTTTGCATGGAATCTGGGTGCCTACCCAGTCTGGTTTTAGGCTAAAGAAATTTTCATTTACAGTGACAGAATTTGTTGAAGTGAGGTAAAAAAAAGAATTAGCCAATCAGCTAACAGGTTTCTGCCGACCAGCTTACCAGATAAAAATTGAAATGTTCTGCAGCATTGGACATTTTCATAATATCAATTCTTTGCACACTCAACATTAAATTGACTACGTCACGAATTTGCTATGGTGTATATTTGTGTAATTTTTGTTGCAATTTTTTACTTGAAAAGTAAGTACTAATGGCACTAAATGTATCCTCAAATTCTTACCTGATAAGATTGTTTTTCAACTAGTTAAAAATCGATTTGGGTTTTTGGGCGATTTGATATATTGATCATGACATTAAAAATGCTTGCTATGGGCTATGTATAAGTCGCGAGTGTTTGTTCACATCGAACGATATAGCAAAATAGGAAGTACAATGCAGCAATTTGACCATAAAAAGTGAACAGAATCACTTACATTTTGTTAAGAGGCGGACATTTTTTTTTTTTTACTTTTACTATTTACAGTGACGTAATAACTTTAAGGTACGTTATGATATAGTGTCACCTCTTCCATTGATAAACGAAATAAGCATTCCACAATAGAGTAAGCTAGGTTACAACAATGACCAGCCGTAACATTTAGTGTCAAAGTTTTAGTGACTGGCCCCAACCACACTGCTGGTGTGACTGGCTGGCATTTTCAGGTCAAAGTTAATTTCCTTTCTCACTACACAGTGGCTGCCCTTTTAAGTTTGATAACACGATAGAATTGATTTTGAAGTCCTGTGCTAAGGATAGTAAAAAAAAATGTCTTTCTTTTGGCTGGGCAACTTTCCACTATAAATGCCCCAGATCTTATAAAACTGAATTTCCCTGAACACGTAAACTGGTCTGTTTGACAGTTGCCTTTGCAATCTTCATACAGTAGAGAAGACCAAAGCTCACGTTCACATGCTGATGGAAACATCCACGGCCATGATTGGCTATTTATGAAGTGTCAAGCGACTACTTCACTGGAAATAAGAAATGTTGTCGGTGCAGTGTCTTGACTCTAGGTGTCTATAATGTTCGATTCTCTAACATTATCTATAACATAAAACGTTTTTTAGAGGTAACCTTAATTTTTCCTAGGTTGTTTTTTCTATACTAAATATTGCATATATGCATATTGTATACAGACGATTGTGTAAGACACAACTAAGCATGCGTGTATGACTGTAAATATGTTAATTTTCGTGGTTCCCAACCTGTCCCAATAGAGTGGGAACCCACTGTAGTGAGTCAAGACAGTAAGTTGAATCAACAAAAAACACGTTTTGTTATTGATAATTTTAGAATATAAGGGGCAAGGGGGATACCCTTGTATGGAAGTGTGCATATCAAATGAGTGGATTTTATGTACATTTCTGGTTTCTTCGCAGAGTTTTACGTGAATGTAAAACTGTCGATCGTTTATTGCAGCTTCCGATAAGGACGGGTTTGCACACCACCCACTCCCGCATCAATGTAGAGCAGAACAAAGAATGCTTGATCAACGTCAGTCGATACAAGTTCACCCTGGTGATCAGCGGCCTCACTCAGATCCTGCGCACTGTCGGCACCATGGTAAATATCACTTAATAACTCGGTGCATTTTCATTAAATCACGATTTTTTAACGTACTAGACCTGTGAATAAGTGTCGGGGAGGCTGTCGGGTTGTGTGTTTACGTTAGTTTCGCGGCCCGGTCAGGCGAGAAAATGCCAGACCACAGACGAGCTGACCTTTGCTAAATTACCATCGACGTCAGCGTCGAATATACCCCCTGCAGGAATGCTGGGGAGCGCTTCATGTTGATTCCTTAATATCAAGGTCCGAGCCTCATTCCATTTCATTCCATGTGAAGCACGTCGGTGAAATGCGAAAAAAATGTAATATCGAGCAGGATGTTGCAGAGGTTGTGTTCATTGATCGTGTCTGTGGTATGATATTGTGATGACGTTACCTTCTGTTTACCGCAGAAAATCTTCGGCCCCGAAGCGGAACGCAATTTCTACGAGTCGCAGCTGATAATTCTCGACACACTACATCAGTGTCTCAATGGGGTACGTGAGTGCAATGTAACCGGCACGCGTAATATTAATACAACCCAGGGTTTCTTATACATAGGAGGCACAGTGGCGTACCGCCGTTGTCAAATTTAACATCGCCGTTGTGAAAATGTTCCTGTATTTACTGATAAGTATATCCTGTATCTATATACCTATAAGTATATCAATACATCCTGTATTTGAATCCATCATGCACGTTTTTTCCCAAACTGGCCATTACATCCTTTGTCTAATTTTCGCTCAGAAGAAACCCTGCAACCGCGCGAGATAATTAAAACATAGGTGCGTAGTTGGAGCGAGAAAGTGAAGTTCAATTGAAGGGAACTTGAAGTCTAATTTGAGGAGAATTTGAATGTAGTGAATTGGGAATTGGAAATTAAATATATACATATATGTATAGAGTTTTCCCTAGGCCTTAAACGTATGTCGGGTCAGACATATCTTCAAAGCTGAGCTGATTGGCTACATGCCATAAATCCATCAACACGCCTTAATTGCCTAGTCGATATGCCCTAATTTTCAGCTAACTGTGTTTGATTTTGATATCCAAACACAGACATGCTATGATGTATGTCTCACACTTTGATGTATAGGTTTTCATGATGATCGAGTTTAATACCTGCATTTTGGAGCCGCTTATGTCTTGCGGATTGACTCCAATTGGTGCTACCCCTCCCAGGGCCTCCCCCATCCATCCATAAACAACAAGACCTCTGATATTCATGGGGAGAACCCCAAATATATATAGCTAAAACTATGACAACTAATTCAGTCGACCTGCACCATGTTATCAGGAGTGAGTAATAGAGATTATTCTCTATTATTTATCTCTATTATTCACTCCTGATGTTATGTAGTACACCCCCCTGACATTTTCATTTTTTCACAATCATGGCCTTAGTATTTCTTGCTCTGAAGTTTTTGCGCGAGAGAAGCTCAGGTTGCATGCATAGTTTTGCCGTGAATTCTTGCAGCAACCGAAAGACACGACGAGACTTGACGAGGCAATGTACGTGAAACTTCTTCTGCCAGAGATTATACAGGTTTGTTTCGAACATGTATCCGGTAGTCTCAGTTAATCGAATGCTTGATGAGTGGTAAAAGAAACACCTCTAAAGTGTAAGTCTCACAACCATGCTCATCGTATATACTCGTAATGATAAGAGTAATTTCTTCAAAGTATTAAAAAAAATACATTCACCTATTAATTCAAAATTTAGAAATTCACTTAACAGTTATATATTTTGGCTTTATTTTTAAATAAAATTGCTTCTGGACGTTTAAAATGAATGAAACGTTTCACTCAAAGTTTCTGCCAAGATTCTTCACTAGCTGTGATATCTGGTTTTTATTTCTAGTTCATAAACTACTCCAATGAAAGTCCACTGAAGGCCCTGGCTTCAAAGGTGTTGTTCGCACTGAGCCTTAACAACTTCACAGCGGTCTTTAATCGCATTTCTGCCAGGTAATTAAATTGACTATGTCACGAATTTTCTATGGTGTATATTTGTAAAATTATTGTTGCAATTTTTTACATAAAGTAAGTACTAATGGCACTGAATGTATCCTCAAATTCTTACCTGATAAGATTGTTTTCTAACTAGTTAAAAATCCAAAAACTATAGGCGATTTGATATATTGATCACGACATTAAATGCTTGCTATGGGCTATGTATGAGTTATGCATGTTTCTTCACATCGAACGGAATAGCAAAATAGGAAGTATAATGCAGCAATTTAACCATGAAAAGTGAAAAGAATCGCATACATTTTGTGAACAAGTCGACATAATTTTTTTTACTTTTACTATTTACGGTGACGTAATCACTTGGTGTTATCGTGTTTACTCTCGCGGTTATGATATTGATCATTCTGACACGTCACTCTCGCATCCACATAACATGCACAGTGCGTCTCATTAGAAGAGTGGTTTGCTGTGCTGCTGATCACTTTCACCCCGTCTATTCCACGGCACAGTCGTGATACATGCGCCCCCCCCCCCGAGGTGCTGCTTCTTAGTTAACTTTCTTGTGTCATGTCATCTGTAGCGTGCCGGCCGCACGTTGACACACACAAGGGTGGCAGTTGTTTACCTCTTTGGTTTATCTTTGCTCGTGCGTTTAGGCTTCATGCTCTGTCTACCTCAAGTGACCAGGACCCTGGTGACTACAGTGATCTGGAGCTAATCCAACATATCAATGTAGATTACACACGACTGATCAAACTACTAAATGGTTAGTACTATATTTCATGGATGGAAAATTTGTGCAATGGCAGTCATTATATGTTAGAATGAGTGCACCCTGTGAATACATAATGAAGTCAAAGAATTGGTCCAGAATTTTGGTTTGTGTTGTAAGCGAGTGTGTATTCTATTGAGTTGATATATTTTGATGTAATACTGTAGTCAGAGTCTGGCATGGGTATGGAAAGGTCCTGGAATTTGATCTGACTCCTTGAAAATTCGTTGAATTATAATATATTGTGTGTTATACTGGAATTGCTGAGGATAATTTGTCAATTGTCTTGAGTTATAAGTGACTTCACGCTATATCGAACCACGACCACCATTTATTTCTACTGCACTGATCTATGTTCAGGGGACATAGGAAACATTTTCAAACCGTTTTTATTGTGGTTCTGTGGATGAAATGTACATTCTTTTCAATTTATATGTTAATAATTTGATGAGAATTTAATTAATCAATTAATTAAGATAAATAATAATTTATAATTATATATTATATTAATATCTAATATATCAGATATTATATATAATATTAATAAGGTAATAATTTGATGATAATTGTTGAGAATTTAGATGTTGGTGAATGATGCTCGTACTAAGTAATCATGTGCTATATAGCGTACGAGTATATACGCTAGTTGTATAGTAGTAAGTATATAGCGTATAGTCAGCGTGCGAGCGACAGCTTCATGTGTCGCCCCATGCGGCATCGAGTTTGGACAGTGAGATGTTTCAAAGTCGGATCTGTTTCTCAGAAACGAATCAGAAGTTCCGTAATCTTAAGAAACAAGTGCAGCCCGTGTTGGTGCACAGCCTGGAGAAGGCAATATGGAACTGGATGGACACTTATCCGGAAGAATTCACCGAACTCCAGAAGAAACCGAACGATGAACTGACAGGTATCGAGAGTAATTTTAATTATTTTTTTTATTATGAGATTTTATTTATTTTTCGAAAGATCCACATAATCAATCCGTTCGCCTTGGCTTCGATAAACGTTTTTGCCCGAACAAGGTTTCTGCTTCTCGCCACCCACTGTGACAAGTCCATGCAACTTCGTTCAGGTTGTCACAGACCGCTAGATCAGTCGTAGTATGTTTTGCTAACAGGTTAATTACATAAACTCGTTATCGTGAAACACGAAGAACTGACAAGTAGCTCAGAAGAACCGAAAAGCATTCGTGAACTTGTACGTAGTTTACATTAGTTTACATTACATTACATCAGGAGCTAATAATGACAAATTAGTCATTATTAGTTTGTCATTACTAGTTTGTCATTACTAGCTCCTGATTACATTACAATTAGTTTACCCCCCCTCCCCCCCGGACTCCCGGTGAAGAAGCTTCTAGACTCGGCTACCGCGTGAACTCATTAGTTCTGTGATGAAGCCGCGGTATGATGCGTCTCACGGTAACCTGTCTCTGGCTGCTACGCGCCTGCCGCGTCGCGTCTCACCTGTGACCTATGACCTGTGACCTATGACCTGTGACCTATGCGATGTTGCAGAGGCGTGTGAGAAGTTGTTTGATCACTTGGACACATTCACCGACAACACGAAGAAGAAAGCGACCGTGTGGCCCTTGCAAATGATGTTACTCATACTCTGCCCTGTAAGTAGAATAATTTCTCTCTGTCTCGCTCTCTCTGCCTTCTCTCCTGCCTCCCGTTTTCTCTCTCTCTCTGTCTGCTCTGCTCTCTCTCTTTCTCTCTCTATCTCTCTCTTCGTCTCTCTCTCTCTTGCTCTTCGCTGATCGTTTCTATCTCTCTCTCTCTCTTCTCTCTCTCTCTCTCTGCTCTGCTCTCGCTCTCTCTCTCTCTCTCTCTCTCTCTCTCTCTCTCTCTTCTCTCTCTCTCTCTCTCTCTCTCTCTCTCTCTCTCGTTCTCTCTCTCTTCTCTCTCTCTCTGCTCATCTCGCTCTCTGCCTCTCTCTCTCTCTACTCTCTCTCTCTCTCTCTCTCTCCGCTCTCTCGCTCTCTGCTGCTCTCTGTCTGTCTCTCGTGCTTCTCTCTCTGTATCTCTGCTCTCTCTCTCTGCTCTCTCTTCTTCTCTCTCTCTCTCTGTCTCTTCATTTCTCTCATTATTTCATTTCTGTGTTTTCATCCTGACAGCGTTTACTCTGCTAATTTTTGACAGGGCCTTTAACTATACTCCGTAGGAACCCGAGTGATCTTGATAGCGACTTGGCTATGTGTGAATTTCCCATGGTCACGGCAGTTAGCGATTGCGTGATTGCAGTAACATTGAATTATCGTGCGTGCGTGCGTGCGTGCGTGGTGCGTGCGTGGCGTGTGCGTGCGTGCGTGCGTGCGTGCGTGCGTGCGTGCGTGCGTGGCATGCGTGCGTAGTTAGTCGTGTGTAGCGTGCGTGCGTGCGTGCGTGCGTGCGTGCGTGCGTGCGTGCGTGCGTGCGTGCGTAGTTTGTCGTGGGTGTCAGCGTGTGTGCGTGCGTGCGTGCGTGCGTGCGTGTTAGTCGTGGTGTCAGCGTGCGTGCGTGCGTGCGTGCGTGCGTGCGTGCGTTGTTAGTCGTGGTGTCAGCCAGTGTGTGCGTGCGTGCGTGCGTGCGTGCGTGCGTGCGTGCGTGCGTGCGTGCGTGCGTGCGTGCGTGCGTGCGTAGTTAGTCGTGGTGTCAGCGGTGCGTGCGTGCGTGGCGTGCGTGCCGTGCGTGCGTGCGTGCGTGCGTAGTTAGTCGTGGGTGTCAGCGTGTGTGGCGTGCGTGCGTGCGGCGTGCCGTGCGTGCGTGCGTGCGTGCGTGCGCGTGGCGTGCGGTGCTGCGTGCGTGGCGTGGGTGTCAGCGTGCCGTGCGTGCGTGCGTGCGGCGTGCGTGGCGTGGCTAGTTCGTCGTGGGTGTCAGCGGGGGTGCGTGCGTGCGTGCGTGCGTGCGTGCGTGCGTGCGTGCGTGCGTGCGTTGCGCGTGCGTGCGTGCGTGCGTGCGTGCGTGCGTAGTTAGTCGTGGTGTCAGCATGCGGTGCGTGCGTGCGTGCGTGCGTGCGTGCGTGCGTGCGTGCGTGCGTAGTGTCGTCGTGGGTGTCAGCGTGCGTGGGCGTGCGTGCGTGCGTGACGTGCGTGGCGTGCGTGCGTGCGTGCGTAGTTAGTCGTGGTGTGTCAGCGTGCGTGCGTGCTTGCGTGCGTGCGTGCGTGCGTGCGTGCGTAGTTCGTCGTGGGTGTCAGCGGTGCGTGCGTGCGTGCGTTGCGTGCGTGCGTGCGTGCGTGCGTGCGTGCGTGCGTGCGTGCGTGCGTGCGTGCGATGCGTGCGTATTTAGTCGTGGTGTCAGCTGGCGTGCGTGCGTGCGTGCGTGCGTAGTTCGTCGTGGTGTCAGCGTGCGTGCGTGCGTGCGTGCGTGGCGTCGTGCGTGCGTGCGTGCGTGCGTGCGTGCGTGCGTGCGTACGTCGCGTGCGTGCGTAGTTAGTCGTGGGTGTCAGCGTGCGTGCGTGCGTGCGTGCGTGCGTGCGTGGCGTGCGTGCGTGGTAGTTCGTCGGTGGTGTCAGCGTGCGTGCGTGCGTGCGTCGGCGTGCGTGCGTGCGTGCGTGCGTGCTGCGTTGCGAAGTTAGTCGTGGGTGTCAGCCGTGCGTGCGTGCGTGCGTGCGTGCGTGCGTGCGTGCGTGCGTAGTTTTGTCGTGGGTGTCGGCGTGTGTTCCGGCAGCTGACATGATGGTTCTGTTGCAGCCGCACTGCTCGAAGAAATTGTGAATGGCTGACCAGGGAGCGCCGTGCTCACCCAAGTACCTCAAGAAGGTTGAACCTCAGTCCCTTCTCTATTCTCTTGACGGATATAATTCGCGACAAGATGGCGAGGGCAGGTTTAGATTGTGAAGCGTACTTTTCGCTTTACAGTTTAATGTTCTTGGAATTGGATAGGGCCAGTAGTGTGTGTATTAATTATTATCTTATTTCTGAGGGCTTAATCCATTAATAGGGATAATTTGATCAAAATGCACAATCCTGTCATTGTATTGAAAAAATAAACTAATGGTAATTGTAATAAGAATAATAAGAATAATAGATAATTCTGCTAGTATTATATTGCTGCTGCTGCTGCTACTAGCTAATACTACTATTGCTGCTGCTGCTGTGGCTGTTGCTGTTGCTGCTGCTGCTGGTACCATTACTACTACTAGTACTACTACTAATTAATATAATATAATAATGATGATTGTTATTATAATTATTATTATCAATAATAGTTTTACTACATATTATGTGAACTCTGTGTTGAACCAGTTTTCTCGTATGTTATTGCAGAAATCGTTCATCGACACCGTAAGAAATCGCTGATCGGTCAGGGCGGCTCCCGACAGATGGCAAGGGGCGCTGTAGTCACCTGCGTGAAGCTGTGCAAGGCGTCGACGTACATCAACATCCTGGACAGCAGTAATGTGCTCTTCATCCTCGTGCACTCCGTCATTAACGAGCTCAAGGTGGGTCGGTCATTAACGAGCTCAAGGTGGGTGGGTCTCTTCATCCTCGTGCACTCGCGTCATTAACGAGCTCAGGTGGGTCAGTCTCCCATCCTGTGGCACTCGTCATTAACGAGCTCAAGGTGGGTCGGTCTCTTCATCCTCGTGCACTCCGTCATTAACGAGCTCAAGGTGGGTCGGTCTCTTCATCCTCGTGCACTCCGTCATTAACGAGCTCAAGGTGGGTCAGCTTTCATCCCGTGCCTCCGTCATTAACGAGCTCAGGTGGGTCAGTCTCTTCATCCTCGTGCACTCCGTCATTAACGAGCTCAAGGTGGGTCGGTCTCTTCATCCTCGTGCACTCCGTCATTAACGAGCTCAAGGTGGGTCAGCCTCTTCATCCTCGTGCACTCCGTCATTACGAGCTCAAGGTGGGTGGGGGTCACACCAGGGTGGCTGGGAG